AATTTGGCTGCCAGCTATCTTCTAGGCCATGGGAAGAAGGCAGGGAACTGACAGCAGATCTCTGAATTTCCATCCTCCCTTCTCTGATTCATCTCAAATTTTAGCATCCAAATAACCTTTCCCTTTCCCACAGAAAGAGTAGATTCTTTGCATCTCCCCACTGTGTCCCTTTCTTGTTACTCAGGCTGGGAAGATGCTAAGCATTGATAGGTAGCTGATCTTCGGGACTGTGAAGGCATCTGATGCAAGAGCAGACTCCTGGGGGAGTCTCTTCTATATCACCAATGAAATGGAGAAAGGGAGAACATTTTCACTTTTGAGCTGATAAGAAACAATGAGAAGAAGAAGAAGATGAAGAAAGACCTGAAGGGAGTTTTGACAGGTAGCTGGAAGGGAGACCTTCTCAGGACTCTTAGGAGAACCTGCTCTTAGAATGAGAGCAGGTTCCTGGTGCAGCTCATCATTTTAGACTGTCTGATGTAAAATCTCAAGGCATTGATACGATTAGTGAAGTGATATAAGCGGAGGATTCTGATTCCTGGGAGGGAAGAAGCTAGATCTTCAGACTTTCTTAGTACTTTCAAAATGCTTTAGCTCATGCAGCAACTTTTTTTTTCCATTAAAAAAATTGTCATACATAGTTGTGATAAAGCTGGAAATGTGAGGTCTCCTTTGAAATGTATAATTTCTTATTGTTGGAGTTCCAGAAGAGCCTACATTGCCTTTTACAGCAGGATATGGAAGAAGTGAGCAGGTCCATGGTAAAATTGTTTCAGTCATTCTGTTACAGACCATAAATGAAATACACTGTGATTTTTAGCTATTGAATGCTGTTCACACATGAGGGATTCTCAAGATTAGAAAGATTAATTTAATCAGCAGAGCTGCTAATAATAGGCAGTTCTTACAAGGAGTATCTCACTAGATCAAGTACTTGAGACCTCATGCAGGCCATTATTGTTAGGGCTGACTGACATCTCTAATCTGCAGGGCAACACAGTTCTCATTTTTGGGACAGGGTGTGATAGGAGTCAATATCAAAACAAAGCAGGTACACAGGTTTCTTTTTGTTTTTGTACCTGGACTCAGCAAACATGTAGTACTAGAAGACTCAAAAGATTCCTCAACCTATTTCCTACTGAAAAACGTAAAAAGAACAGCATAGGAATATGTCTGACTATCCACTTCTGAGCTGCTGCATTATGTTACGTACAGGGTTGTTGCTAGCCTGCCTATGCTGCCAGGTCTTGTAGACTTCAGTTTGGTAGGACCTGCTTCCTTTCATGGCAGGAGAGGCCATGCCTTGCTAACGAGCTGTTTTTGTGACCTCCCTGTTACACCTCAGGCAATGAATATGTTCTTATCCAGAGGCTTGCTCATTACTAGTCTCTGAGAGAACAATCTTTGAAAAGGACCTAGGTGTTCTGGTAGACACCAAGCTGAACATGAATCAGCAAAGTGCCTTTTCTGTTAATAAAACTTTATATTTATATTCTTGGTTATATTAGGCAAAGTATTGCCTGTAGGTCAAGAGAGGTGATTTTTCTTTTCTACTCAGCATCAGAGATCATACACAGAGTGCTGAGCCCAGTTCTGGGATTCCAGCACAAGATAGACATGGAGTCAACTAAAAAAGAGTCCAGTGGAGAGCAACAAGGTTGATTAAGAGACTGGAGTACCCTCTCCTACAAGGAGAGGCTGAGAGCTGGAACTGTTCAGCCTGGAGTAGAGGAAGCTCAGGAGAGAACTCATCAATGTCCATAATTACCTGAAGGGAGTGTGCCAAGAGGATAGAGCTAGGCCTTTTCAGTGGTGCCCAGAGCCAGGATAAGAAAAACAAGCACAAAGTGGAACATAAATGTTCTCTCTAAACATCAGGAAACACTTCTTTACTGTGTGACTGACCAAGCACTGGTACAGAAAAGTTGTGGAGTCTTCCTCCTTGGAGACCTTCAAAAGCTACCTGGACGTGGTTCTGGACAATGTGCTCTGGGCGTCTCTTCCTGAGCAAAATAGGATTGGAAGACCTCCAAAAGCCCTTTTCAGCTTTAACCATTCTGTGGTTCTGAAAGCAGATGTGCTGCTCTGAAGGGCTGAAAGAGCATAGAGTGCAGTCACAGTGAATTTAAGTAGAGGCCTTGCCCCTGCCAAAAAGGAAACTTCATTAGCAGCTGGGACAGTTGGTGGGAAGGATGGTGGGAGCAGGAGGGCATACCGGTGCAGAGAACTGACACAGCACAGAACTGATCCCCATGCATGGCAGAGCTGCTCCACTCAACAGCAAGAACAACAGCAGAAAGGATGACTTCCATTCAGATCCACATGCCTGGGACACTGCTTGTGCCACACACTTGTACCTCCCCAGTCACAGCTTCACGCCATTCCCTTGGCATATTTCTTGTCACCAAAGAAGCTGTAGGCCATGATGAGGTCTCTCCTTGATCTCTTCTCCATACTGAGAAAACCAAGGGATTACCACTGCTCCTCATACACCTTCCTGTCTAGATCCATCTTTGTAGTCCTCCTTTGGACACTCTCTTAGCTTTATGTTCTTTTTCTATGATGGCCAGAACTGCACACAGTGCTCGAGTTGGGGCTTCACCACTACAGTGTGAAGCAGGAGAAGCACTTCCCTTGAGCAGCTAGAAACACCATGTTTGATGCACCCTAGGCTGTGGTTGGCCTTCTGGGCTGCCTGGGCACACTGTTGATTCATGTTCAATTTGCTGTCAACCAAGACCCCCAGATTTTTTCAGTGGGGCTGCTCTCCAGCATCTCATTCTCCAGTCTGTACATATAGCTAAGATTGCCTCTTCCCAGGTTGCAGAATCTGGACTTGCTCTTGTTAAACTTCATGTGGTCAGTGATTGCCCAGCTCCCTATTTTTTCTCCATCTTTCTGCAAGGCCTCTCAAGCCTCTATGGAGTCAAAAGCTCCTTCCAATTTAGTATCATCAGCAGATTTGTGCAAAACACCTTCTACTCCTACATTCAAGTAAACTATGGTTAAAAAAACACCTCTTTTCCCCCTTCTTCTTCTCACTTGATTCCTTTCCCATCATACTGCCCACCTCCTGGAGAAGGAAACATAAAATGTCTTCCACATTCACAGACAGATGGGCAAGCAAGTGAATAGTCCACTGTTTGAACGCAGACAGGGATATGGGATATAGTCTAAGGGAAACAGATCCGTTCCAAGTAATACGAAACAAGGAAAAAAAAAAAAAAAAATCTTCCCTGGCACCCATCCCCCATGCATTCAAAAAGTTATTTTGTGTTGATTCTTTGTAGCAGACCTACAGAGCTCTGCTCTTAAGGTTAGAAAGTAACAGGAGTATAACTTCAGGTTGAATTAAAAGCAAAACAAAAATTGGTTCACTTAGTCCACAAAATACCTACTTGAGCTGCACTGTTGCACTCTTTCCCTCATTCTAAACAAAATAAAGTAAAATTCTGCACAAGATAAAAGATTACTTGGGAGAATAGGGTTGGTTTTCACTGTTTTTTCCTTGTGTGTGCGTGCGTGTGTGTGTGGAGGGGAAGGGGGGGAAGAGGGCTGTTTGTTTTAAAATCCTTTCCAGGAGCATGCCACCAAAATTGAAGTGTTATAACTTCTGATTAAAAAACACTAGGAAAACACTATTTCCTCATCTTTTCATAAACGCATTATAACAACCCACGTGTAATACCATGGATTTTTTTGCTTATTATTGCTAATTTTGTTTTACTCCAAAGCACTTTCCGTAGTTTACAATAGGATTTATATCCTTACTACAAAAAGTTCAGTTCAACCCTTTAACTGTCCCCCCAGATCAACTCTATAAAACAGGCAGAAACCTATTTTTTCCACGAGAAGTGTTAGCAGTTCTCTGCTGATGCACCAGCAGCAGAGTTCCCAAAGTCCTGCGCAGGCACGGGAAGGGGAAAGGAACCAGTTGCCTCCGTTGAGAATTTTCTGATCACTTCCTTCGTACGTTCACATCTGCTCTGTTGCACGTGACCAACTTCGAACCCTTTCTTTTACCCTTTTTTTTCCAGCAGGCACTCACTCCCCACTACCCCGCGGGAAAGAGATCGGGAAATAGCATGTCCTGACCTGAGAGAGGGAAGAGCAGCTGCTGTTACACTGAGGCAGTGAGGACCAGCTTCAAATCCTCCTTCTGCTCCAGGACTTCATGCCAAAAGAGCAGATAAAACTGATTACTACATGCCTCTCTTTGGACAGGGAAGCGGATCAGCTTCTCACTCAGCATTGTTACCAGCGAGCCAGA